TTTTTTTTTAGCAAATAATTCCTGGGACACGACAAGCATCATTTTCACCTGCATGCTTCTTTTTGTTTTCCTTTTTTGACCCATTTTCCTTTATCTCCTACTTTTTTTCACTTTTACTTTTCATAACTGAGTTTCTTTTGCTCCTTTATACATAATATATCCCTATATCCCTTCTTTACTGAGAGACTAGAGGAGAGAACCTTGTTTAGGTGGCTATTAAGATGTAAGTTTCAGAAACAGGAAGGAATGGAAATCAGAGTCCTGCCTAGCCATGGATATAAATGCGCAGTGAGTATCAGGACTCTTACAGTAACTCATTATGTTGGTGTTCACCATTTCTGGAGTTGTTTAGAGGGCAAATGTTATATTAATAGACCTGCCAAATGGATATCAAACAGTCTTTTCATAGATTTAGTTTCTGCCTGTATTTTGAGTTTAGTATATATGTTTGTTTCAGCTTGTAGTGCATTAACTTATATATTTTTTAATGAATTGCAAGGAATATGAAAATGTTCGTCAGGAATATGAAGAAGTAAAACTAGCTCGTGACCGAGTGAAAGATGAGGTCAGAAAACTTAAAGAAAGGCAGATTCCTATGACACGTCGAATTGAAGATATTGAAACACAGCGTCACAATTTGGAGGCTCGAATCAAAGTGAAGGTACTTTTCTAGCTCAATTTTCTGTGTTTTATTTTATGTAATACAAAAGATACATTGCAAATTTTAAAAAGTATTTTGTAGATTTATTTGTAGCTTTGGTTCCTTAAATTCTTTAACTAGAAATTCTACCACCACAACGTACTAATAATCATCTCTATTGGAAGGTTGATATTTATAGAAATTTCAAGATATAAAAAGAGAAAAATGAAATGTGATTGTTTCAATTACAAGAGGATTTACAGTAGTATTCCTAGAAACACTGAATTCTTTTTGTGAATTTTCAATATTATATCGGCTGTATAATTATAATACCCTTTTGGAGGAGGGTGTTATAGAAAACTTGATGTTTCTTAGAAAAAATAGTATAGTGGCATATGGAATATTACCTGCACTTTGAAAATATGACTAAAATTTTTATGGTCATGGCTTTCAACCTTTAGGGAGATTTTGGAGTCAGAGATTATATTGAGAATGGTTTAAATTATGGACCCTGCTATCCTGTTGGATTGTTTTTAGAATCAGATGAAAGAACATGAGAAAAGAAATGTTAAGAGTTAAACATGCATACATATTGCTGCAGCTATTTTTAATGTCAGTAGGAATAGCCTTTTATAGATTTGCAAATAACTTGGTGGTTTTGGTGATAATTATGTATTTGATTTGAAAGAAATCATGGAAAAACATTGTTTTTGGGTTAACTTACATAATAATTTACTATTTGGAGGGGGTGGGGCCACATAATTGGCTTGCTTGAGTTTTTAACCAACTTTCCCCTTTTCTGATTCAATCTTACAGGCAACAGACATTAAGGAGACATCTCAAAAATGCAAACAAAAGCAAGATATTATAGAAAGGAAAGATAAGCATGTAAGATTTTGTATTGA